CCGGGGGCGCCCCCAGCCCGGCCAGCCGGGGCGCCCCGCTCCGCGACCTCTGTGCCTCCCCCCGGGCCCCCCACCACCCGTCCCCCCGACCCCAGCGCACCGACGCCCGACGGCGGCCGGCGGGGGTCAGTCCCCGCAGCCGGCCCGTCACCCGGAGGCGGGTGCACAGTCATCGTGCTCACACGGCTCCGCGACGGCGTGTGCAGGCCGGGAGCCGCTCGGTCGCGACCCCGGCCCGCGGCCAGAGTCGCCGAGCTCCCGCGGGCCCCCGGGGGTGGGCGGGGCAGAGACTCACCAGGCGGAACACGGCGAAGAGCGGAGATCCACACGGCGCGCCGGACTCGGCAGAGAAAACCCACCGCCCCGGCCTCCGCTGCCAATATGGCTGCCGCGCCTGCGCAGAACCGCCCGAGGGGGCGGGGCCTCCGGGACGCGGAAGTGCTCCCGGGGGCGGAGCCAGAGCCGCCGTCCCGGCCGCTCCGCCCGAGGGACTCCGAGGGGAAGGTAGGGTCGTAGCCGGTTTCCCTGCCCCGATGCGAAGTTTTCATTTTCACTTTCTCTTCCCTGCTGTTCGGTCCAGAGCGCCCCGAGGATAGCCAGCGTCGACCTGGTTTATTCCTCCTTCCTACCTATTCCCGCCTGTTCTCAAAATGGTCTCGGGCTCATCAGACGCGACCCTTCATCCAGCCTCTTAGCATCGCTCCCCCTGGAATCTGGCTTCCAGTTTTAGTACCGGTACGTGCATGTCTGGGCCGCCGAAGCCAATGTTTATGGGGCTTACACCTTCGGGAGAATTTTCACCATGCACAAGGAAGTTAAAGCGGAATTTTACAGTATACGCACAATTATCTTCTTCCCGCCGTTCCTTCCCTTTCGTTGTTGCAATTGCACGGGGTCCCACACACTTAGTTGTGATACTTGCGGGTGGGCTCTGCCCACTCTAGTTGTGGTACCCTGGTACTTGGTCGAGGTGTGCAGTTCCATGGCATCCTGCCTGTAGCCAGCCTGACTCGCCCGCACCTCCCCGCCTCGTGGCCTCCTGCAGGGGAGAGTTGTGGGAGAACTCCCTCGTGCGGGCCAGGCAGGGGTCCCCTCTGGGTGCCCTGCTGGCAGCTACGAAGGGGGGAGGTGCAGGAGAGCCCGCCCGTGTGTGCCAGGCAAGACTGCCCGCTGGAGTCCCCTGCTGTCGGCAAATAGGGGTGCCTAGCCGGTTGGCCAGGAGGGGTCCCCCCTGGGTCCCCAAGTTGACTGTCATTGGGGTGTGAGGTTTGAGCCCTGGCTGGCTTGTAGGGTGCGTGAGAGCCCCGTCCTGTCAGCCAGGTGCTAGCAGCCACCAAAAGGAGGGAACGCTGCCTGGCCCAGAGCCAGGCAAGCTCCCCATGGCATATTTGATATGCCAAAAACAGTAACAAGTCTCACAATGGAGACGTTACTGGTGCCTACTGGAGCAAATTGATGAACAAAGGGAGGACAGTGCTACAGTGCTACAGACAGTGGGGGTGAGGGGAGAGCCCTGTTGGCAGGGGTGTGCAGGAGAGCCCCCTCTGTCAGCCAGGCAGACATCCCCCCTGGGGTCCCCTGCCAGTGGCCACTAAGCGAGGGTGTGGGAGAGCCCCCTTGTGTGGGCAGGGCAGGGGTCTCCCCTGAGGTCCCCTGCTGGAGGCCATGAAGGGAGGGTGCGGGCGAGCCCCCTCTTGTGGGCCAGGCAGGGTTCCCTCTTGGGGTCCCCTGTTGGCAGCCACAAGATGTGTTTGGGGGTTGCTCCCAGTACAGGGTAACATACGATGCTGGTTATTGAACCCAGGGCTCCTGCGTTTGCTCCAATCCTTTGAGCTGTCATCCTGCCCCTAAGCCATCTATCTTTACTGAAATTGTCTAGTCTATTTCTGTGTTCATTATCTATTTGAGCCATCTATCTTTACTGAAATTGTCTAGTCTGTTTCTGTGTCCATTATCTGTCTCTCCACCCTTTCTGTTATGTGACTTCCATCCTTATGTAAATCTTCAATTCATGTTATGTTTCTTAAAACCAGAAGGTGCAAGAATCATTTGTTATTTCCTGTAAGAAGAGATCCTGCGGACAGGAATTTTTTCTCTTTATATTGGGTGCAAAGTTATTGGGAGATCTGGGCCTTGTAATGGAGTTTATGAGTTGTTTGAGTTCTCTCCTGTCATTTCTGCTTCTCATGAACACAAAAAGATGAGCTGAGGCAAAATGGCAGAGTAACCACATAAGTTTTGAGACCTGGGGGGACACAGCCAGTGGTGCTCTGGGCTTACTCCTGGCTCTGCACTCAGGGATCACTCCTAGTGGGCTCACAGGACCATATGGGTGCTGAGGATTGAACCGGGTCAATTGACTTGAACATATTTGGGTGATAAAATTCAGTCTTACTTGGAGGAGACAATATAGGAAGTAAAAAAGGCATTTGACACCAAATTGCTATGTTCCTTCAATGCCGCCTCTTCTCTCTCTCTCTCTCTCTCTCTCTCTCTCTCTCTCTCTCTCTCTCTCTCTCTCTCCCCCCCTCTCTCCCCCTCACTTTCTTCCCTCCCTTCCTCCCTCCCTCCCTCCTTCTCTCTCTCATCATCCCACATTCTTCTGTGGCATGATTGCTTCCCATTGAATGGTTCTAAGTTCTCCTTTATTAAACTAGTTCTTGGGGCCAGAGAGCAGGTGTGACTCTTGACTTGCATGCAGCTGACCAGGGTTTGATTCCCCATACACTATTAGGAGTGATCCTAAGCACAGAGCAGGAGTGAGCTCTTTAAGCAACACCATGTGTGGCCAAACAACCCCTCTACTCCCCCCAAAAATTAGTTCTTGAGACCAGACAGTTAAGGGGTTAGGAACCAAGTACAGGTGTTAAGGTGAATGTGCTTATATATACCCAGACCCAGTTTGATCTCCATACTTCATGGTCCCCCAAGCAAAATCACTGGGAACAACCATGGAGGCCCCAGAACCTACATCCAAAGCCCTTGTTCTGAATCATAGGCTAGGCCAATGGAGAGCCTGGGAAAGGTGCAGGATCTCCTGAACACTGCTTTTTTTTTTTTCCTTCAGTGATGTGGTGGGGAGGGGACTGGGGTGTTTGGGTCACACCTGGTGATCCTTACGGTTTTCTCCTGATACTGCTCAGGGATCACTCCTAGTGGGGCTCAGAGGACCATATGGGATGCTGGAGATTAAAACAGGGTCAGCCACGTAACTTATTATCTGTCAAGACCGAAACAAATTTTTGTTCCTCTTTTAATTAAAATCCCCAAAATCCTCAAGGAAGAGTGGTCCATATGAGACACTGTGACCATTCCTTGAATAAAGGGCAACTATCTTGATAGCTGACACTCTTTGTTCATTCAAAGGGCCAGAAGCTGTTCCTAGTGTGTTCATCCTTGTAATTCACTCAAAAGATCTTTAGTAAAGTACATTCACTTTTTTTTTTTTTGCTTTTTGGGTCACACCCAAGATGCTCAGGGGTTACTCCTGGCTCTGCACTCAGGAATCACACCTGGCGGTGCTTAGAGGACCATATGGGATGCTGGGAATCAAACCCGGGTCAGCTGCATACAAGGCAAACGCCCTACCTGCTGTGCTATCCCTCCAGCCCCAAGTCTGTTCATATTGATCTAGGTCTTGAATAGGAAATAATTCATTTTACCATAGTTTATAAACCACATAAAACTGACTAGAGACAACTGAGACAAAAACCAAAGAAAATCAAATGCTGGGGGCAGAGCAATAGTACCACAAACAGGGAGTTTGCCTTGCACTCAGTGGACCCAGGTTCGATTCCCGGCATCTCATATGGTCTCCGGAGCTCAGTCAGGAATAATTACTGAGTGCAGGGCCAGTAGTAATCCCTGAGAATTACTGAGTGTGTCCCAAAAACAAAACAAAAATCAAACACTGAGTAAACTATCAATGCAGGGCCACACACCTTTAATATGGTAACTGTGGTCTGACAGTATTTGCTAGGAACTCAAGAAAGGGAATTTGTGTTCTCAGGAGTGAGGAAGAATGTACCACCATTTTATGGTACTAAAGAACACACATTGCTCTGAGAATAAAACCCAAGTTACAGTCTGGCTGTTTTGTTCTGGTCCTCCTTTTCTTGGTCAGGAAAGATGAAAAATCACAATCCCTTATATTTAAGGAGGGCTGGGAGAAATGAGAAATAGAAAGAGGTCTGGGGCCCAATTCATTCAGCAAATTATTTCACTATTTTCTAAATGAACTTTTAAAGCTTCTGTTACTTCAGCTGAAAATGGACATTTATCAGAACACAATCACTCATTAATTTATTGTAGAGGTTACAGGAGATAACTCACATAAAACAATAATACATGGTTGGCCTCTGTCCTGAAGCCTGGTACAAAGGTACTAAAAACTCTGACAATTCCTCGGTGAAAACCAGCCCCTTGCTAGAGGAACTTCCATTCATCATCAGGGGCCTAGAACTTTCCATATACCCCATGAATCTTTATGCAAGGAGAGAGATACTGGGGATCGGCATAATCATCACCCGTCAATGATTTCATTCTTCTTGCCAACACACTGAGACCTTAACAAAAACCCCAACCAGAGGGGCCAGAAGGTGGTAAGCACCAAGTCTCGGGCACTTGATGAGCCAGGGGGCGGGAGGATAGTACAGCGGGTAGGGCTTCTGCCTTGTACGCGGTCGACTCTGGCATCCCACATGGTCCCCCCACACAATAGTGATTCCTGAGTGCACAGTCAGGAGTAACCCCTGAGCATTACTGGGTGTGACCCAAAAAGCAAAAAAAAAACTTCCTGAGCCCCTTGGCCAGATGGGAGGCTGATGACCTTGGACCCCTGACTGCTCCTAAGTGAATGCAGTTTTGTGACTAACTCTCTGAGTACTTCCGGAATTGTTCAGTAGGAGAGAAAAACCCTGTGACTGGTGTCAGAAGGAAGAATGGAGTCAAGTTTTTAAGTAATGGTTTTTATTACATATTGTTAAAAACTTAAGGCAAAAAAGAGAGGAAGGTTCACATAAATTTTTGATTTCTAAAAAATCATAACTGAATGTGAGTGGCAAATAAAAAATCACTCCAATATTATTACTCTGGATAACCTGGAATGTTTTACTTAGTAAACATTTATGTCTATTATGTATCAAATTGGGCTAAGAACTTTGCATTATTCTCTTTGGAATTCTCACAACCCTATGCTATAGATATTATTGTTACTCCAACTTAACTGATAAAGAAACTAAGTCAGAGAGAAGTCTAAGATGAATACAAAAATGATACAAATGAATAATATAAGAAAATTCATTGGAAAATCTATTTTGGGGACTTTAGATAGATCAGTGGAGAGGTAGATATGTGGATTAACAGAATTAAAGTGTTTTCTTGCTTACTGAAAGAGTATTATGTACAGTGGGAGTGATAGTACAGCAGGTAGGGCATTTGCCTAACAGTAGAGTGGAATTCTAGAATGGAGAGAGAAGAGACAGCTTAAGAGAATTGGTGATGTATTAGCTAGGTCTATATGCTATGGCCGTGATTTAAATATATGAATATGTCTATAAATATATCTTTCCAAGTCTAAGTATTGATCTCAGGATGGAAAACAGCCCCGAGAGAGGATCTGATTGAAAGTATTCTGCATATTTTATACACATGGCACATGAGACCTCCAGTGAAACATGCTATTGTCTGTGGAGTACAGGAGTTTGAAAGTGCTCATGACATTGAAGACCACAGCACTGATCCATCCCACCCATTTTATATTTTAGCTGTGCAGGGAAATTCTTCATAAAATTAAGATTTTTTTCTGGAGCCAGAGGGGAAAGTGCTTGCCTTGCACCTGGGTTCAATTCCCGGCATCCCATATGATCCCTCAAGCACCACCAGGAGTAATTCCTGAGTGTTGAGCCAGGAGTAACCCCTGAGTATTCCCAGATGTAGCCCAAGAGCAAACAAAAAAAATAAAGATTTTGTTCTATTGGGGTTTTGTTTTTAGGCCACACCCAGTGATGCTCAGGGGTTAGTTACTCCTGGCTCTGCAGTCAGAAATCACTCCCTAAGGGCTCAGTGAACCATATAATGTTTCAGGGATCAAACCCAGGCGGGCGTGTGCAAGGCAAGCCACCCTACCAGCACGATACTATCTCTCCAGCCCTCTACTGAGTTTTTAATTACCAGTTCCTGTGAACTTTTATCTAGTCACGTGGAAGCCTAGGATTTGTAAGACTTGGCAGTTTCGAACCAGATTTCTTCTACCGCTTTCTGACCCATGTCATACATTTGCTGTAAGTGTTTCCACCCTGTTTTTGCAGTGATCATGATATATTCTTTGTTCTCTGGCTGGAGCTGGCAAGAATACGCAGCCATGACAAGTGACTGGCAAAAGCGACTGCATACAAGCAGGTACAAAGCACTCCTCTCTACAGCCGTCAGTGGAATGATGCTCTCGAACCCCGCCAGAACATGGCCTCCCACTTGAATAGGGTCCTTACTCTCGATCATCATGTACATGATGGTGATAGCCACCTCAAACACATAGTAGCCGTAGCTCATGTCGTCAAAGTCGAGAACCCCGGACACTTGGTGCCCGTCTCCTGAGACCGACTTGCTGGGCTCTACTAAGATGTTGTGGTCATTAAGATCTCCGTGATTGATACCTGAAAGGAGAAAAATCAAACCATGTAAATAAAAACATTACTTCAGATCCTAGATTAGTCTCTTTTCATTACTCATTCTCAGGCATGATTGCGCAAATAACTGGATGAGCAGTTGAAAGATACTAACTCAGGGGCTGGAGAGACCACACAGCGAGTAGGCTGCTTGCCTTGCATGCAGCTGACCTGGGATCGATCCCCAGCATCCCATATGGTTCCCCGAGAACTGCCAGGAGTGGATCCCTGATCACTGTGTCCCAAAAAAACAAAACAAAATACAGTTGAAACCAGGGGCTGGTGTACATGCAAGGCAAGAGCCTTACCTGCTGTACTATCACTCCGGCCCCTGGCATTAGACCTTCCTAAGAGACACCAGAGAGCAGCCTCCTCTCTCTCTTCTAATGAGAACTCAGAGGAGGAGGCCAGCCAGCACCCAGGAACAGCTCTCACCAGGACCCGCGCGTTGTGGCCCTGATGGCAACGCGTCCAATCTCCAGGATGGTGAGAAGTCCTGTTGCATTTGTGAATGAACTAGAAACTCAGAGTAAATGGGTCAATCTGAAAAACAAGCCAGTTTAAAAAGCAGGTCACAGAATGATTTACAGTGTGATACCATTTATCTAAAAAGTGAAAAGATGCAAAATACAACCATACATCATTTCCCTTTTTTTTTTTTTTGTTCTGGGGCCACCCCTGGCAGTGCTCAGGGCTTACTCTTGCTTTCGTGTACAGAGATGATTCCTGGTGGGGTTCAGGGGATGATAGGGAGTTCCAGGGATCAGTCAAACCCAGGTCTGTCATGGGTAAGACAAGTAGCCTTCTTGCTATAAAATCAGTCCCCTATACATAATTTCTGAGCACACAAATAGTCAATGTTGAAACCTATATGGAAATTTAGTAAAAAGAGGTAAAATATTTAAAGTTTAGAGTGGGCTTTAAATCTAGAATGTTAAGGAAAGCAAAAGTACTATTTAAAAAGCAACAGGAGGGAACACAGCAAAACAAAAACAAATATTGAGGGGGCAATACCTAGCATTGTTTAGAAGTTAACTCCAGACTCTGCACTCAGGAATTATTCCTGGCAGTGCTCAGGGAACCATAGAGGAAGCTGTGGGTTGTCCCCAGGTTGGCTGCATTCAAGGCTAACACCCAGTACTATCTCTCGGTCCATATATGGCAAAAATTTTATTTTATTTGTGTGTGTGTGTGTGTGTGTGTGTGTGTGTGTGTGTGTTTTATTTCTGGGTCATATCCGACGATGCAACGGGGTTACTCCTGGGCTCTGCAGTCAGGAATTACTCCTGGTGGTGCTCAGAGGACCATATGGGATGCTGGGCATCGGACCCAGGTCAGCCACGTGCAAGGCAAATGCCCTACCCACTGTGCTATCGCTCCAACCCTGGCAAAAATTTTAAAGCAAAGTCATACCTCTATACTTTCCTGATATCTTGAAATTTAACTATCAACTTAAAAAAAAAATCAGAATGGGGAGTACTCACATTCTCGAAACTGCTTTAACTTGGCTGTTATTTCATTCTTGAACAACTGGATGACATGCTCAACAATCTCTCGATTTCGATCCTGTCCCAAGGCATGCAGATACTTCTCCAAAAGAGGAACGTTTCTCAGATTCCAGATGAAGTTCCCCCGATGGAGACTACTTAACTTTGGATGCTGAAATTTCTAAATCAAAAGCAAGAAACTCTTAGACTCCTTCTAAGATAGGGTGGGGCTTCTCAAGCTATTTCACTCACAGCCCCTTCTTGCATGAGAAATGCAACATGTACGAACACTGCCAGAAACACACAGATTCCTAAAGTGGTTGATCCTAGATTTTTTGTTGGGGACACGGAATGTCACACTCAGTGGTGCTCAGGATTACTCCTGTCCTATGACTCCAGCCTTGAATTTATTTTTTGTCACTGAACTTTCAGAAACCTTTCACTGTTGCCAAACTTTTCAAGACCCCCCACATTCAATTACAACAGCATTTCTCCCAGGGTCCTTGACTTGCTCTCGCTAATGAATCTGCAGTATAACAACACTTCATGTATGTCTGGAGCAATTATTATCTTTAGCAGAGTGGGTGGGGCCCTTGCCTCACATGTGGTTGATTCGGGTTCAATCTCTGGTACCCCACATGGTCCCCAGGAGTGCAGAGCCAGAGTAAACTCTTGAGTACAGCTGAGTATAGCCCAAAAAGGAAAAAAGAAAAGAAAAAGACAGAATATTTTCACATTAGTTTCAAGATGAAATATACTATTTTTCCCCTTTCTAAGCAGCACTTAGAATACCAGGACACTCCTGGCTCTGTGCTTGGGGGTCACTCCTAGGGTGCTCAGGGAATCATACATTGCTGGGGATTCAACTAAAGGCCTCCAGCTATAAGACCTGCACTCCAACTTTTTTTTTTTTGCTTTTTGGGGTCACACCCGGCAATGCACAGGGGTTACTCCTGGCTCATGCACTCAGGAATTACTCCTGGCGGTGCTCAGGGGACCATATGGGATGCTGGGAATTGAACCTGGGTTGGCCGCGTGCAAGGCAAACGCCCTACCCTCTGTGCTATTGCTCCAGCCCCTGCACTCCAACTTTTTGAGAAATCTCCCCATCCCTGAAATACTTCCCCATCACAACCCAGCATACAGACACCCTGCTCATGTAAAGAACATGGTCAACAGTACAGAACAAAGGCAGGATCTGGAGGTTTGTATTTTGTTTGATTTCTCGTCTGTGTGTGTATGTGGGTGGATGTGGGTGTATGGTGTGGAAATGAAGAGTTGTGGGAGAGACTAGGAATCAAATCCAGGTCCTCAAATATGGAAAAAAAAAAGTGTTCTACCACTGAGTCATATTTCTGGCCCCTATTTTGACTTACTCTGCAGTATTCAGGGCAGGGGAATAAGATCCTTTTTTTTTTTTACTAGATTTGGCATATAGAATATACCACGGATAGCTTGCCAGGCCCTGCTGTGTGGGTGGGATATTTAAGGTAGCCTGAAAAAATAAATAAACATAAATAAAAAGTCGCGAGGCTGCAAATGCAGCCACGCGCTCCCAGGAGCTTGGTGTGATAATCTCTGGATCCTGGCCATTGTTGGGGTAACACAGCAGTTGGTGGGTGTAACTGTCTAGCTACTGGCAGGTCCAGTCCCAAACCGTGCAGGCTTGGAGATCTCAGCCCCGGGTCCCACACACCTGTGTTCCTCTGCCAGTTCCTTTATGCGTGAGGCTCATCCAAGCGTGTGGATGATTGATCAAGCGTGTTGATCCATTCATCAACAGGGATGAATGGAGACGCTACTGGCACCCACTCGAGTAAATCGATGAGTAATGGGGTATCAAGTGATCAAGTGATTTTGACTTAAAAAATAAAATGCTCCTCAAGGAACAGACAGACTGACTTCACTCATTTTTAGGATATAAAAAAACAAGCAAATATAGTATGAGACTAATATTCAAGGACAGTAGAAACAATGATCCATGGTTGGAAGCTTCCACAAATAGTGGGGGGTGGGAGGGGTGGAGGGTGGGGAGACGATAGTTAGGATACAGAAGGGACCACTATGACAATGATAGCTGGAAATAATTACTCTGGACAAAAGCTGAGTGCTGAAAGGAGGTAAAGGGATATACATGATTGTTGGATATTAATCCAAAGTGTTTCCGCTTTCATCAGTGAATTGCCCCCTTTCCTCTCCCCAGAGAAGCTTATTGTGCTCTTATGGTCACTCGTAATCCCCCAAGTTTATCTTGAACATTTCCTTTGTGCTTTACCTCTCATTCTATTAGCTACTAGATTCCTCAAGTCATGCTTGGTTACTTAAAAAGTCAAACCTGTGACTCTGGACTTTTTTTTTTTGATCTATCATGAATTACTTACTTTTCTCTTTCCTATAACCTTTTCATATTTTATTATGGAGCAGTATTCTTTGCTTAAACACAGAAAGACCATTAATGCTATGCCCCTAACATTTCGGAGTTAACTGACTCTGAAATATAAATATCTCAGAGTCTGGGCATCTGTCATAATTAACTGACTCAGTCTTCAGTCACCGTGGTTCCTAACACTCCAAAAAAGCGGGGTCCCACCAATGCACCTCTGGATGGACCCAGGGCAAGCAGCAAAGCTACCCCGGAATTGAAATGGGACAGTCTAGAAAGCATAAAGCTTGGTCTCTATGTAAGCTGTGATGACCCCATGAGGTAGGAAAAGCTAAACCAGCCTGAGGAAAAAGCCTAGCTGGCTTTTAACCCTTGCTTGCCCTCAAAGCCCAGAGAAATACATTTCGGAATCTGTATCTCTTACTGTGTTTACCACGTAACTACAAGTATTAATAAGAAATAAGCTTATCAAGTTGTAGAAAGCAAATCATTTCACAACGCTGTTTCAGCATGTCTGATTGGGGGGGGGGGTCGTAAACTCTAAACAATAATTGTGCATCTTCTATCGAAATAATCTATCTAGTCAAAGTAGATAGAGTATTAACTAGAACTCATCTGCCTCATAAGAATTGGGAGGGGTGGGAGGTGGGGGTCTATTGGGGTTCGGGGTTAAAAATGAGTATTGGTAAAGGGAAATGTGTTCGGTATCTACATGACTGAGACCTAAACCCGAAAGCTCTGTAACTTTTCCCACAGTGATTCAATAAATAAATAAATTATTTAAAAAAAAAAAAAGAAATAAGCTTATTTGTTTAATATGCACTAGCAGCAAGGGAAAGAGAAAAGCAATACAGATGCTCCTGGGAGACAAAGGTGTTTCCTTGAGCTAATCCCGCCAAAAGAATTGCCTCAGTCAAAACGCTTTACCTCTGTAAATGACCACACCTTCGTGTAGTCCTGTACCTCGAACCCCTCAGATTGTCTATATGGGCTATTCAGTTTTGGAATTAAACTGACCATTTTGATCATTTGTCTGTGTCCCCCGTCTCTTTGTTGCTCTGCTGGGGAGTCCTGGGAGGCGGCTCTCAATCACCAAATACGGCGCACAACCTGATAACCTCTCAGTGCTTACATTGCAAACTGTAATGCCCAGAAAAAAAGAGAGAAAGAAGAGAGAGAGAGAGAGAGAGAGAGAGAGAGAGAGAGAGAGAGAAGAAAAGTCCTGCCAGACAGCACAGGGGAGAATGACTTGCAGGGGAAGGGGTTGTTCTGGTCACGTTGGATGTTGCTGGTTGGTTTGATGGGTCTCTGGCTGATGCAGGAACACAGTGCTGATACTTCATTAGCATGAGACTTCCTTACTAACATTTTACTAGAATGATTGGATAATTCTCTTAGAAGCTTATACTTTGTAACTGGGTTGCTTTATCTCATTTTCACTTGAACATTACAGGGAATGAAGTATCTGAATTGTAACTATGCCAATATCTTTTTGTCTTTTAAGAAATTTTCATTGCCAAGAAAGGCTGGATTAAAATTTTTCCTTCCAAAAAAAAAAGTGCCTGCCATAGAGGCAGACTGGGGTGAGGAAAGGATGGCAGGAGAGAAACTGGGGACACTGGTGGTGGGAAATGTACATTGGTGAAAGGATTAGTATTGGAACCAAACCATGAACAATTTTGTAACTGTGTATCTCATGATGGATTCAATGAAATTGTTTTCCTTAATTTTGTTTTAAAAATGCTCCTTGGGGCTGGAACAATAGCACAGTGGGTAGGGCATTTGTCTTGCACGCGTCCGACCCGAGTTCGATTCCCAGCATCCCATAAGATCCCCCTGAGCACTGCCAGGGATAATTCCTGAGCGCAGAGCCAGGAGTAACCCCTGTGCATCACCAGGTGTGGCCCAAAAAGCAAAAAAAAAAAAAAAAAAAAAAAAAAAGAATGCTCCTCAAAATTGAGTGAGAACCTACTCTCAGAGCCTAGTGTTTGAAATCCTTCCCAGATCCTCCAGATCCTTGCTGTCATCACCATATCCCCTCAACGCGGCCACATGTGAACATTTCCCATGTGGTCAGAGAGAGTGCAGGGGTTAAGGCCTCACATACAGCTGACCCTGGTTCCATCCCCAGCACTACATCTGGTCGCCTGAGTACTACCCAGGGGTCACTCCTCAGCACAGAGGCAGGAATAGCCCCTGAGGATTGCTGAATATGGCCCAACACTACTCTCACCCCAACCACACTCCCCAAAGAAACATACTTGCCACACCACACAAGGTGCCTTCGCTCCCACTGTGCCCGCTGGCCTTGCTCCTCCTCTGGTTGAACCTCTCTGATAACAGCCAAGCCAGGGGGCTTACAGTGACCCAGGGGCCTCACAACAGGATTATTCCTTCACTCCATGACTGTCCTCCCAGGAGACAAAGTGTGGACCTGTGCCCCCACCCAAGTCCCCTTTCTGCAGAGTAAACCTTTCTAACGCTTCCTCTGCACCGGGACTCACTCTCCTAACCACCCAGGAGAGTGAACTGATGCCACGCGGACCATGAACCCTGCAAGGTAAGCGCTAAAAAACAGTGAGGGTGGGGTACAGAGTACAGACGGAAGGGATGGTGGGGGAGAACAGTCAGTACCTTGAATACTGCTGTTATACTGCTTGTTTTCAGATGTTCCTTTCATTCTTTAAAAAAATATGAGGAGGGATGGGCCAGAGTGATAGCACAGTGGGGAAGGGGTTTGCCTGCACACAGTCAACCCAGGTTCTATCCCTGGCACCCCATATGGTCCCCTGAGCACCGCCAGGAGTGATTCCTTCCTGAGTGTGGAGCCAGGAGCAACATCTGAGCATTGCTAGGTGTTACCCAAAAATAAAATAATAATAATAATAATAATGAAAATGAGGAGGATCAGGTTGATAGTACAGCAATTAAGGAGCTTGCCTTGCTTGCAGTAAGCCCAGGTTTGATTCCTGATACCACATATGATCCCCAAACTCCGCCATGAGTGATTTCTGAGCACAGGGCCAGGAGTCAGCCCTCAGCACCACTAGGTGTGGCCAAAAACAAAACAAAAATCTTTTTTTTTTTTAAATTAAAATATGAGGGGCTGGGAAGGTGCCTCCTCGGATGGGAGAGCAGAAATGCAGCCTGTGCAAGGCCCTGAGAGGATACTCAACACTGCAGGAGCACAGCCCCCCCCTCCGCCCCCCCTCGGGCCCTGAGCAGCACAATGCAGGCTGCACTGGCCTGAGGCACTGTGCCTCTGGTGCCTGGTTTTTTGGTTTTTGGGTTGTTTTTTTTTTTGGGGGGGAGGGATGTTTGGGCTATACCCGGCAATGCTCAGGGGTTACTCCTGGCTCTGCACTCAGAAATCACTCCTGGCAGTGCTCGGGGACCATATAAGATGCTGGGAATTGAAGCCGGGTCAGCCATGTGCAAATCAAGTACCTTACTCATCATTGTACTATCTCTCCATTCCCAAGAAGCCCCCCTTTTTTTTTTGCCTTTTGGGTCATACCTGGCAATGCACAGGGGTTACTCCTGGCTCTGCACTCAGGAATTACTCCTGGCGGTGCTCAGGAGACCATATGGGATGCTGGGAATCAAACCAGGGTCGGCCACGTGCAAGGCAAACGCCCTACCCGCTGTGCTATCGCTCCAGCCCTGCAGCCCCTATTTTTAAAAGGTTAAATGGGGGGTCAAGGGTGTGGCTCAAGTGATAGAAAACATACCTTGCACCTGTGAGACCCTGAATTCAATCCCTGGCATCCCATGGCCTCTCAAGCACTGCTGGGCAGAGGGAGGGAGGGAGGGAGGGAGGGAGGGAAGGAGGGAGGGAGGGAGGGAGGGAGGAAGGAAGGAAGGATGGATGGATTATAACACTGATTGGGCAACAGTTCACCAAAGGCAGGCTTATGTCATCTTCTATGACAGTGGCACTGTTATCCCGTGTAACCCACAGGAACCTCAGCTCCAAGCATCCTTCAATGGGCCTTGGGAGGATACCTGGAATTTGCATGTGGAAACAGATCTGGGTTTCAACTGGCCCCACCACTCACCAGTTCAGATCTTTGCCTCAGGGGGCAGAGCAATAGTACAGTGGGCAGGGTGGTTTACCTAGCATGTGGTCAACCCGGGTTAGATCCCTGGCAACCCAGATGGTCCCTTGAGCCTTCGAGGAGTGATCCCTGAGTGCAGAGTAAGTCCTGAGCACCACCAGGTGTGACCCAAAATAGAAACAAAAAAGGAGTGAAATGAGAATATCGAGATCAATCTTACAGTCATCTGCATAAACAGGAAAAGGCTGAAGCCCCAGCCCAAACAGGAGCTCCCTGACAGGCTGACTGCCTGGCCCTCTCTCCTCCTGGCTTCTGTACACGACAGCCTGAGCATGAGAGTTTAATCCTGGTTCCCACACACTTGTTCCCTCCCCTACAAAGCTCTCAGCACACAGCTCAGAGGCCTGTTCAGAGGTCTGCGCTGCAGTTCCTGCTTGTCCTTGAAGGATACCAGCAAAGCCTGAGGCTGCCCTCCTGTCTGCCCAGCCACAGCCAAACTCCAGTCCAGGTGGCCAGAGCCCTTCACTTCGAAATGCTGTGTGTGGCTGCTACCAGCCCAAGGCCCCCCTCTCCTCTGCCCCGCACCCCCATACCTGGACGCATCAGTGGCCCAGCAACACCCCAACATGCCAGTCCCAATTTCCGCCACACCCACAGGATTAAAGGACTGCACCTGGGCCCTATCCTGCACGGATTCCACGCTCACACCCAAACCGAGAACTTAAACACCTGCACAGAGACAGGGTGAGGGGAGGGGCGCCAATACAGGTAAAGATATACCGGATGAAAAATGCAACACTCTACCGAGGGAGGAATGTGCTTCCTGGTTCCCGCTAGGGTGTCCCTGTGCCTTGCAAGACAATTTCAAATAAACTGCTGAACAGAGGGGCTAGAGCCATACCACAGCAGGTAGGCCATTTGCCTTGCATGCGACCAACCCACGTTCAATCTCCGGCATCCCATAGGATCCCCCAAGCACCGCCAGGAGTAATTCCTGAGTGCAGAGCCAGGAATTATTGTGCATGGCTGGGTGTGACCCAAAAGAAAAAAAAAAAAAACTGCTGAGCAGAGCCCCAGGGAGCTGACTACAGGGCAGAACTCTGCCTTGCCAAGCACAAGACACATGACCAGGGGCCAGAATAAAAGCACTTGCCTTGAACATGGCCAGCTGGGGTTCTATCCCCAGCACTGCATATGGTCCCCGGAGTTCGCCACGAGTGATCCCTGAGCACAGAGCCAGGAGTAAGCCCTGAGCGCTGCCGGGTGTGGCCCAAGTAACAAACCCAAAATTTAAAAAAATAAAAGTCTGATAAACAGGTGCATGACTTGCATGCAGCAGACTCCAGGTTGATCCTCAGCGCCACATAGTCCCCAAGCACTGCCGGGAGCAGCCCTGGAGGACTCTGAGCACTGCTAGGTGTGCCGGGGGCCTGGGGGGTCCCCAGCTCTGTGGGGCCTGAGCAGCACCACATCTGTATATTGAGTCAGTCTGTGGGCTGAGAATCTCCGGCAGAGTCCCTCCTGAGCACTGTTTAGGAGGCCTCCCCCAGACCAAAAATCTTAGAATTTTTGACCCTCCCAAGTCTTACCTCCAGTGTCTGATCCAGTCTGGCAGCCAGCTTTCCAATTTCATATAACAGCTGGGGGCTCATGGGAATCTCGGCTATGGGCCTTCCGGGGAGGTAAGTCAGCAGCCTCACCACGTAGGTCTTGGTTTCAGAGCCTTGATCTAAATTAATGGAATGATACATGCTTTCAGCTAGCCTTGAAAAAAAAAAAATAACTGGAGACGCTTCTGCTTCTGCAAATGATTGCAAAGAATAACAGAGATTAGAGAATATGGACCAAAGGGAAAGTGTGCTAGCCAAATGAACGGGGCAAGATTCTGTGAAGCAGCACGGAGGAGATCAATCAAGCATGGAAAACAGCCAAACCGTAAAACACTGGAATCAGCTGTTTAGGTACCAACAAAATTATAGCTCCAATTTGTTGGCCTTAGCACTAAACATAAATTATCTGCTTTGGTAAATAAATGACTAAAACACCCCTTCATAAGTTTGCAATTGAGCAAGGTGTGGAATTTTTTCTTTCTTTCTTTTTTTTTGCTTTTTGGGTCACACCCGGCGATGCTCAGGGGTTACTCCTGGCTCATGCACTCAGGAATTGCTCCTGGTGGCGATCAGGGGACCATATGGGGTGCTGGGAATCGAACCTGTGTCAGTCATGTTGGCTGCGTGCAAGGCAAATGCCCTACCTGCTGTGCTATCACTCCAGCCCCCCCCCCTTTTTTTTTAATTAATTGAATCACTGTGACTTACAACTGTGAGTTTTGGGGTTTTTTTTAATGGCTCTCAGAATCACCAGTTTCTTCCAGGGCAAATCAGGAATAGGTTGTGTTTACAACACAGGACAGTGTTCAATGAGGACTGTTCTGAGACTTGGTTGTTTGGAGAGAAGCAAATTTAGATAGAAAGGATAAATGATCAAGAGAGAAAAAGACAGGATCCAAGCGATGGGACAATGGGTAGGATGCTAGGATGCTTGTCTTACATGCATCCGACCCCGATTTGAGCCCCAGCGCCCCATATGGTTCCCTGATTCCTATCAGAAGTGATCCCTGAGTGCAGAATCAGGAGTGTGTGCCCTGAGCATAGCTGAATTGCCCCCCCCCCCACACACACACACAAATTTCATGCCTTTGAAACAAATTCCAAGGAACTGATGTCAGGCAGCAGCTTAGAGGATTCTACTAGGCACCTTTGTTATAACATTTGAGCAATCAGAGGTAAAAGTGACCAAGACTCACAGATGAGAACCTGTAGCTTTATGAATTTCAGTTGTTTGCCCAAGGTCATGTAGACAGTAAAGATAAAAGTAGAACCCAAACTTCCTGATGTCTGCTTCCTATTGTTGTTTCCCCTATATCACAGCACCAAAACATACAACTGTTCTGATAAATGCTAATATCTTTCCGCTTAAAAATACAACAGAGGGGGCTGGAGCGATAGCAGAGCAGATAGGGCATTTGCCTTGAATGAGGCCGACCCGGGTTCAATTCCCAACATCCCATATGGTCCCCCAAGCACCGCCAGGAGTAATTCCTGAGTGCATGAACCAGGAGTAACCCCTGTGCATTGCTGGGTGTGAGGCAAAAAGCAAAAGCAAAAAAAAAAAAATAGAAGTAACACCTAACAAATTCTGAACCAGAGTCCCAGTCTCCACTTGAATCATGGCTGGGCCCCTCCCAACTGCTGAAAAAAAAAAATCCACATCTATATTTGGAACTACGAAATCTGGGTCCCTGTAGCCAAAAGGCAGCAACGTCCATGGATGGCGGTGCAAGCTGGGGGCCTCACCAATGGACACAAGCGAGGTGATGCTGTCTCCTTTGGTCCGATGCACCGCAGCAGTGGGGATCCCAGCAGTGCTCAGGAACATGATGATGTGGCTCTGTACTTCAATCAGCTCTGGAGTTTTGCTGGACTCAGTGTTGTTGATTTTGAGGACATAATTGGTTGGATCCTGCAGAGTATCTTCGGCTCTTGAAATGCATACATGAAAATTTTGGTCATCGTAGCTAGGAAGCGGCCGGATCTTGGAAACCTTTAAACCAAACACTGATTCCACTAGTGCACTGGCTTGTGCCTCAGTGAAAGTGGGTTTGGTCAGAGCCTGTGACTGCTGCTTACTGGCATTCGACATGTCTGTGTGGGACACGGAAAGGAGACAGCAAATGAATATCTTCATTTAAGTGATTTTTGATAAACCAAAAGCCTGGCAAGCTCCCCGTGACGTATTCGATATGCCAAACACAGTAACAACAAAGTCTCCAATGGAGACGTTACTGGGCCCGCTCGAGCAAATCGACGAACAACGGGAGGGCCTTTACCTTTACCTTTGATAAACCAATACTCTATTTTTTTCATTTTCAATACTACTTTTTTTTTCATTTTTTATTTTTGAGCCATAGCCAGCAGTGCTCAGGATCTATTCCCTGCTTTGCACTCAGAGACCACTCCTAGCAGGCTCAGGGGGGAACAAATGGGGTGATGGGGATCCAGCCCAGGTGAACCATGTGCAAGGCAAGTGCCCTTCCCACTGCACAATTGCTCTGGCCCTATTTCTGGACTTTTCTTGAGAACTAATTTTCACCTAAACTTGGAAGGAAAAAAGTAAAATCGCCAAAGCAGATAAAATAAATGTCCTGTCAGGTGAAGCAATATCTTTGCGCTGTCTATGATTTTAAGATTTACTTTGCAAACTGAAGGTATGCTTCCAGGAACAGAACCCAAACCAGGAAAGCAACGGGCACCCTCTAGACCAGTGGTCTTCAACTATCTGAACGTGGGCACAGAAAGGTTAAAAACCACTGGTCTCCCACCTCAATTAGAACTGCCAGTCCGGGGCTGGAGCCATAGTACAGGGAGTAGGGTGTTTGCCTTCCACGCAGCTGATCCAGGTTGGATCCCTGGCATCCCATATGGGCCCCGCAAGCACAGCAAGAGGTAATTCCTGAGGGCAGAGCCAGGAGTAGGTTCTGAGCATTGCCAGGTAGACCACCACCCCCCTCCAAAAAAAAAAGAAACCCTTCCAGTCCATGGACCTGTATTCAGGATAGGTTCAGGTCTGCAGATGTGAAAAGGGTGAAGAGTGCCTGACAGATAGTACAGCATGTAGGGTGCTTGCCTTGCATGCAGCCAACCCAGGTTCAATCCCAGACACCCCAGTAGTATTTCGAGTTCAGAGCCAAGAGTAAGTCCTGAGCACAGACGATGCAGTCCCCTCTCCCCAGAAAAAAAAGCCCAAAATATAAATCAACAAATATTAAAAAAGGAGGAAGAACTCTGCTCCAGTCTAATTCCTCCTCTCCCATCTCCCCCTCCCCCACTTTAGTTCCAGGGATAATAATGTCAGTCCTGTGTGGCTTAATGACTTGCCCATGTTACATTACCAAATTACAGAAAAATACTCTGCACACCAAGTGCCCAATCCATGATTATGCCCCTTTGATGATAGTACTGTAAATTGTGGTGTTATAACGCAAAGTCAAATGATTATTTTCATTCACAAATTTTGTTATATCACAAGGATTGTCATCTAGTGTATCATGCATAAAGGCAGGGACTGATGTGCGAAGCCTAGAGGGAGGCTCTGTGGGAGATAGACATGAGCTTAGTCTCTCTCCCATCTGAAAACTGAACTCACAAATAGCCTCACTGTATCACTGTCATCCCATTGATCGCCGAATTACTCGAGCAGGCACCAGTAACGTCTCTATTCCTCCCAGCCCTCAGATTTTACCAGCCTCTTCTTACTCGTCTTTTCCCAACGATTGGAGGCTCTTTCAGGGTCAGGGGAATGAGACCTATTGTGGTTACTGCATTTGGCATACTGAATACGCCACAGGGAGCTTGCCAGGCTCTGCCTGTGCAAGCGGGATACTCTGGGTAGCTTGCCGGGCTCTCCGAGAGGCATGAGTGGTTAGGAAGTGTCTTAGAAACAGCCTAAGCAATAAAACTCAGAGACTGTTCAAAACAATTTCCCAAGGCAACAAGTACTAATCAGATAGAGCCAAAAGTGACCTTGGTTGAAGTATGACTAAAATGTCCAAAACTGTCTTTATTTTTTCTCTCTCTCTCCTTTTTGGGTCATCCTGGTGGTGGTCAGGCGTTACTCCTGGCCCTGCACTTAGGAATTAACCCTGGCGGTGCTCAGGGGACCATATGGGATGCTGGGGATCGAACCTGGGTTGGCCTCATGCAAGGCAAACGCCCTACCTGCTGTACTACATCTCCAGCCCCCAAAACTGTCTTTATCTTAAATTGCAAATAAGACATTTTCTATTGCTAAGACGAATAGAATTTAATTTTTTTTTAATTGGAACTTGATGGGACCTGAGGGAAAGACAGTACAGCAGGTAGTGCACTTGCATTAGAGACTGTCAACTCGGGCTGGATCCCAAACACCATGTTTCCTAAGCCCCACCAGGAGGGATACCTGAGCACCACTGGTGTGGCCCTCAAAACAACAAAAATTTGTGCTTGAAAGTTTATTTTTTAAATCCACAAGTGAGAGAAATGATTACATTCTAAGGAAAGATACTTATTCAAAAAGAAGAAATCCAACTGAGGTTTTGAATTGATTAGATAATGGGAGGGTAAGGTCACTTAGGTAATGACAGTCTCTGCCACTATCCAGTCAGCATAGTTCCTGACTATCCAGGGACATACCAAAGCCAGTGGAAGATTTCTAAAATTTATTTTTAACTTATTTTTATTTGGGGGTGGGGGGTGGGGGTTACCACACGCCGATGCTCAGGGGTTCCTCCTGGCTCTGAACTCAGGAATCACTCCTGGCGGTGCTCGGGGGACCATATGGAGTGCTGAAGATCGAACCCGGGTCAGCCGCGTGCAAGACAAATACCCTTACCCGCTGTGCGATCTCTTCCACCCCAAAGGGAATGGAAGATCTCTGACCGTCCTTCAGAAGTTACTTTAAGGTCCTTACACCCACTCTTCTCTTTTCCCAAAACACTCCTATTCCAAGTCTCACTCCTGCTAAGTTGTAAATAACACAACCCCTTTGCATTTTAAGGTACAGTTTTGGATGGCCCTTCAATGGATGCTGCATTCTACAAAAAAAAAAAAAAAAAAGACTTAGCTCTTGTTGCCAGAAATCAGAACAGATGTTTCTCCTGGTAAGGAACAGGTTTGAGGGTGCTTGCTCGGAGGAAAACGTCCTAGACCGTTTTGCAGAGGTTTTGGGAACGCGGGTGCGTTTTTCAAAACTTAGCTTGAAACTTGCTCATCAGACTTTGCACTCTTGAGTGTCACTGACTGCAAAGGCAAACGCAAGAAATTGCTTACCTCAGAGGGAGACCCGCCGGCCGGGATCAAGGAGTATCGGAGAGCTGATTCTCCCGGGGTTGGGGGCGGCTGCAGACCCTCTTCGGGGGAAGCCTGGGCGTCCGAGGCAGCCCCGGTCGGGCCCAGAAAGACTTTTGCAAATCACGGGCTTGCACTCAGTTCTCGCAGGATCTCGTTTCACGGGAAACCAGCCTTTCAGCCTCGCTGCGGGATGTGGCGCCGACGGCCTCGGTGCCGCTCTGTCCTACCTGTCCCCGCCCTCTGCCCGCCGACCCGCTGGACTCTGGCACCCGCCGGGGCGAGCGCGGCCGTTGCAGCCCGCAGCGCGTCGGCGCATGAGCAGCTGGGCCCCAGGCCTCGGGGGCCAACGGGTCGGTTGGAAGTGGGGCCACCTCCCTCCAACGGGCTCTCGTGCTGGGCTCGCAGGGGACCTGGGCAAGCCTTGTCCACCTGGCTCCTTAAGTCCTGCAAGATTTGGCACCGAATTCTCGGGAGATGCGTCTGGGCCGAGCCAGGTGGGTACCCGCTGCAGTCCGGCCCGATGCCAAGGTGCACGCGGTGTGACCCGGCTGCCCTGGTCAGCGTCAGTGGGCTCGAGCTGCCTCTAAACCGGGGACCTGGCACCCCGCCCGGCGAGCGTCTGATGCGGGATTAGCATTTCCGTACAACTGATGATTCGGGGCTTCCAGGCCGCAGTCCGGCTCCCAACGTGGATCTGGAAGCCAGGGGCACCGCGAAGCGCCCCCAGAAGCCCCTCCAGATGGCCCTGGTCAGCGCCCGTGTGCTGCGAAGCTGCCTGTGACCCCCACCCGTTTGCGCCCGCTTGCCCGGTTCCCAGGCTGACGGGTCGAACACTAGGTAGCCGGCCCCGCCCACGCCTGGGCTCCAGAGTTCCGACTAGTTTTCCCGGCCGGCCCAGTCCTGGTCCGCCCGGGGGCGCTCTCTGCTGGCCGGTGGAGCAGCCCGGGAGTCCAGTCCCGCGCCTGGGACCCAGGGCCCTGAACGCGCCAGCAGGGCCGCTCGGGGTCCCCGCAGCGGGGCTCGCGCCCTAAAGAGATGGTCTCGCGGCATGCATGGCCAGCGCCGGAGGGGGAAGCCTGATCTAGGCCCCCCGCAGGCCCGCCGCGCTCCTGCGCTCAGGCTGCCTGCTGGTTCCCGGGGCTGCAGCTGCGGGGCAGCTGTCTAGAAAGTTGCGCAGAGACCGCGTCAGCAGGTCTCGAAAACCTCCCCGAGTACCTCTCCGCATCTCTGGGCAACCTGGCGCGTCTTCAAGGGGTGCAGTCACCTTTATCCCGGGCGGATGCGGACCCCCCACGGCTCCCGCCCCACTTCCTGCCCGAATGGGCGAGACCCAGCACAGGAACTGAAGTCCTGAAGCGCAAAGCTGTGCCCCCCACCCCCACCCCCGCAAGCTTTGCCCGGGCTAAACGCTAGCTCTGCAAGAGTGGGTGGGAGTGAGCACTGTCGGGGAGAGGGGAAGATGAACTAGAATAATACCTGCACCTCCTACGACGTACCAATGGAAACGTAAAACACAACGTTGCATTAAAAATGTTTGGGAAAAAAATGTTTGGGGTCAAGGCAGTAACTCATCAGGTAGGGTATTTGACTTGCACGCAGTTTTCCAGGGCTCAATCCCCGGTACCCCAAATGGTACCCGGAGCACTGCTAGAAGTGATCCCTGACAACCAAAAGGTGCGGGAAACACCAAAAAAAGGAAACAATAGCCACCATTGAGAAAAAACAATTTATTAAAAAAAAAAAGGGGGGGGAGACCTTTGGTTTTGAATAAGGACACAGTTGTGTTACAGAAAGGGGGTGAAAGGGATATTAACCCTAAAGCAGAAAAGGGAAATTAGCTCTGAAATATATAGATCATGAAAGACGCAGCTAAGAGAGAATAATGTGTATCATTAACGGAAAAACTTAATAAATACTTTAGAAAAAGATCAGATAGCAAAGTTGGGTAAGACATAACCTAAAACCATTCAGTGTTACACAATGTAAAATACACCTGTGTCAAAAGATGCTCAACTTTCACAACTATCAAAGGAATGCAAACCACAACATCAAAAGGCTGAGTGACGTTAACAGGAACAATTGAGGTTACGGGGAAATATACAAGCACCATGAGTCTCTCTCACTGCTGCTAAATATGAAATGCAGTAGACCCGAGTAAGTGTTTGGTCTACACATGCCTTCTCCTCCTGACAGAGTTGGCCTACAAGGCACATCCATGCCCATGTACATTTCCCCCTTCCTGGTTCCCAAGCTCCTCCAGTGTCAAGTTCAATCAAACCCAAGAGTCTCTCTGCTTTCTGTGGTCTCAGCAAGAGTCGCGTGCAAAGAAATAGGGCAAGAGTTTATAAATTAACATTCACAACTAGTAATAGTATGACTATATCATCCTCCTATATAATCTTCATTATGACATTCATTGTGTCCCAGTTGTCAGTGCAAAAATTAAAAAAAAAGATTAGAATGTATAATCTGTACAAACAATGCTGTCAAATACAATTTTGGTTTTAAGCAACTACGGAAGTCTGCTAAAGGATGTAATCTACTGATACTCAATCTACAGTTACTGTTAACAAAAACTTAGAATGAAAGGTTCGTTTTGGTGGCAGGGTCACAAGTATTAAATCCATTCATGACCGGGAGTGAAAGTAAAGTAGGTAGGCCATTTGCCTTGTACACAGTCGACCCTGCTTTGACCAACAGCATCCCATATGATCCCCGAGTCTACCAGGAGTGATTCCTGAGCACCACCAGGTGTGGCCCCAAAACAAAAATCCATTCATTTTTATTAGCTAGAGCAAAATCAGTTACGTCAAACGCAGTTCTCAATCTAAAACAGCCATGTATTACTGAAGAGGCTCTAATCAATGGACAGGGTCCACCTCCACAATCCTGGTCCCAGCTGGCTCTACCAGATGAGCTTTCGTGTTATTACACTCAATGACATTTGAACAATAACAAAATCAACTGTGTATTTCTCAGGTGCTGCAAGACACATGTATGTTTTCACAGTCTCAGATTATAAACTCAGAAGTATCCTGCTCTCTGGATAGGATCCCAGCATTTTTCCCACCAGGTTTTAAGAATGAGGCAAATTACAGAGTAAATGTGGGGTTCCTACGTTTTGACTTTTCACAGAGCACATACATTTTCTGGAGCCTATTGTTTTGGGGGCCACAATCAGCAGTGCTCAGGGCTTACTGAGCACTGGCTCTAAGCTCAAAGATCACTCCTAGTGATGTGATCTAATGGGGCTTGGAGGAACCTCGGGATGGAAACCTAGTTGGCCACATGCAAAGCTTTACCCTCTGTACTATCATTCCAGGGGCTGGAGCAATAGCACAGCGGATAGGGCGTTTGCCTTGCACATTGTCACCCAGAGTTCGATTCCTCTGCCCCTCTCGGAGAGCCCGGCAAGCTACCAAGAGTATCTCGCCCACACAGCAAAGCCTGACAAGCTCCCCGTGATATATAAGATATGTCAAACACAGTAACAACAAATCTCACAATGGAGATGTTACTGGGCCCGCTCAAGCAAATCGATGAACAATGGGAGGGCAGTGCTACTATCATTCCAAGACCTCTTTTTAGTTTATTTTAGTTTGGCGGTTACACTTGGCCATGCTCAGGGCTTACTCCTGGCGGGGCTCTAGTGGACTATATGTAATGTTGGGGATCGAATCCTGGTAAGCCATGTGTAAGGCAAGCATCCTACCTGCTGTACTATCTCACCAGCCCCCTTGATTGCATTTTCAAATAAACATTTTCCCCACTTTTGTCTTGACCTGTAAAATTTCTTTCAAATACAAAGTCTAATGTTTTAAGTTGTATATTTCATATAGTCTTCTACATATAATCTAACTTGCATGTTCTCTGCTTTTATGTGCAGTAATTGCAGAATGGGAATGCCTTTGCTACCATCTTCAAAGCATTATTTCTCTGTTAACACCTAGGTAGTCTCCAACTTTTATGTTCTAGATCAGGGGCTGGAGCGATAGCACAATGGGTTGGGAGTTTGCCTTGCACGTGGCTGACCTGGGTTCGATTCCCAGCATCCCATATGGTCCCCTGAGCACTGCCAGGAGTGATTCCTGAGTGCAAAGCCAGGAATAACCCCTGAGCATCGCCAGGTGTGACTCAAAAATTAAAAACAAAAATAAAATAAATAAATATGTTCTAGATCAGAGGTTCCCAAACTTATCTGGCCTACAGCCCTCTTTACAGGAAAAAAGAAAAAAAAATCACAACTACCCTGGAAATCTACCTTCTTTAAGCAAATGAACAGAAAAAACTTCTCAGTTGCACCCAAAGTACTACACTCCCACAGACACACACAACCAAACCAGGGGGCGGGGATGGAGGCAGGGGGTAGGGTATTTGGGTGAAAACTGTTCTTTCCAGATGTCTACTAGTTACAGCATTTCTATAATATTACTATCCTCAAATTTTGAAGCGTTGAGCACAGGAAAAAGGAACTGCTACATTCTTCACGTATCTGAAGTTTCATTCCAATATGTACCACCTGAAAGACATTTAGAGTTGACTTACTAACACCATTTCCATTCATCTCTCTAAGCTTTCTTCCCAGAATGAATTGCCTGATGCAGATTTAGGCCTGAGCACCGGGTGAAGGCTTTGCCACATTCTTTACATTTGTAAGGTTTCTCTCCAGAATGAATCCGCTGATGTCGAGTAAGATCTGAGTACTGTTTGAAGGCCTTGCCACATTCCTCACACTTGTGAGGGTTCTGATCAGAATGAAACCTCTCGTGTCGAGTCAGGTGTGATTTCCAGTTAAAGGCTTTGCCACATTTTTTGCATTGGTGAGGCTTCTCTCCGGAATGAATTCTCTGATGTGGAATAAGGGTTGAGTATCGGCTAAAGGCTTTTCCACATTCTTCACATTTGTAAGGTCTATCTCCAGAATGGATCATCTCATGCCGAGTAAGGTCTGTGTATCGGATAAAAGCTTTCCCACATTCTTTACATATGTGAGGTTTCTCTCCAGAATGATTTTTCTGATGTATAACCAGGTTTCCCTTCTGGTTAAAAAATCTGCCACATTGTTGGCATGTATAAGGCTTCTCTCCAGTATGTGTTCTATAATGCACAGCCAGACCTGTGGAGTAACTGAAGGATTTACTGCATTCTTTACATTTGTAAGGCTTCTCACCACTGTGATGCTGCTGATGCTGTTTAAAGCTTGTAGCCCATTTAAAGGTTTTGCCACATTCTCCACACTTGTAGGGCCTTGCTCCAGAATGAATGACCTTATGTCTCCTTAGATATGACGAATCTCGGAAGACCTTCCCACAGTCTTGACATTTGATGGATT